TCATTTTTCATCCTTTATAATCTTATGAAGGAATTGAACCTGGGAAATTTCACTTTTTTTTTCCCCCTCTTAAATTCTGGTCTCTGCAGGATAAACTAGTTTTTTAAGATCACTTTTTAGTAGACTTGTTGACAACTTACATGCTTTAAGGTGAATGTCGTAATGATCTTCTTGTCTCATAGGCAGGAATAAGGCAAATAAAAATGGCAGAAGTTTACAGAAGAAATATTTAAGGCTTAAAATTGATAGAAAGTCAATCTGAACAGAAATAAAACATGTGATCATGTGTATCCTGGAGCAGAAAAGTCAAATAAATAATCTTGGAGGTCATACGTGGAGCTGGACCCTTGGGATGGACTAGTGATGTCACAGAATCCAGCATTTGTCCTAGAAAGAAGTAAAGAGAGTATTTCATAAGGAAAAAAAAATCTGGAAGCCAGGAACCCACGTGAATACAACCAGAACAGCACATCCCATAGGCAGAATTCAAGAAGGGGATTCTTCAAGAAGGTGTTACTTCAAGTAAACACCATCAGTTTAAACCCTACTGTAAATGCTTCTGACTTTTCAGTTGTTTTTCTTAATTCTCATGAGATTCAAATATATGAGGTAAACACCAAAAGGGACTTCCATGTTTGGAAATGTTCTTATCTATTATTTACGATATTTGGGAAATTTCCTTACTTTGATAGTAAAGATAGTTAAAAGTGAGGCAGATTCTGCCCATCTTTTCTGAACCCCAGTCACCAACCTGTGATCAGTGTTACAGAATCCGGCTAGCCTTCTAGTTTGAGAAACCTGGATTTCTAGCCTTGGGTGACTTAAAAGTCACAGTGTGACTCATCACTGAATGTTATAAGCTACCCTTTGTTTGAAAAGTCTATATATCAGTCCTGAGGTTCACTCTTGAGCCTCCTGATTTTCAGCTTTCTATTTCTAATTTCTTTTCTCTTATGAGTCCATTGGGGGACAGTTGCTATATTCTTTTGAAGTTTAGTTTGTTTTTTTTTAACACAGTCTGGATTTCTCTTTAACTATGATGGGTGTGTATGAATATAGTCAATCCTTTCTCTTTGTTACAATGTCTACTCTCCTGAAATTGACCTGAGAAGATGATCAAGAGCCATTTGTCTGGTAGAACCCTAAGCTAAACACATCATTTTCCCCTCAGTGATCCTCCTCTTGATCTTGTAAGTAGAAAGAATTGCAAGAAAACAATGTGGCTGATATCCTATGAGTTTCCAACTAGAAGAAATCCTGACCCTATTGCAAATTACTACTGGCCAGAGAAAAACCAGCATCCTGGCAAAAAGACAGGAAAGAAAATACTCTGAGTTTCCTGGGGCGACTTCCTATAATCCAGGTCGCCTGCTCTCACGGCCTTTTGAATAACTTCTAAACAAATACAGCTCTTTCACATAGCAGCAAGTTTAACTGTTGTTGTACTCTGGGGCTGTGCCAAAGAAAATACTTTTTTGTCATTTCAAGGGAGGAAAACAAGGTTTCAAGGCTCTGTACAACAGCAAAGAAAATAAATGACAGCAACTAAAGGATAAGCAGGAATACTTCCATACACGAGCTATTCACCCAACCCTGGAAATTTACCAGGCACCTCCTGAGTAAGGTTAATGTGAAAAGATTAGCTAGATTTTTGCCTTGCTTATTTGTTTCAAAGAAATTGGGTGTCTTGTTTGAACCTCTTAAAAGGAAAAGAACTAGGGACAAAAATGGGGCTATTAGCAATGATGCCAATGAAGCAGAAAGTCTTCACTAGGGAAGATTTTCAGCCTAAATTCTCCAAAGCAGTATTGCCTTATCCAAGTACACCAACTCTCAAGTCTCACTGAATGGTTTCTAAAGAAGGTTAAGAGTGAATGCAGCTCTGGGTGGCCAGAGGAAATTCATTCTCTATTATAAACAGCATATCCTAGACTGGGTTTCCCCCAAGCAGAAGCTAAGACAAAGGTGTGTGTGAAGTCAGTTCACTTGGGAGGTGAGCCCAGGGAGCAGGAGGGAAGGGCAGGTGGATTCAAACAGAGAAGAATAAAAAGTCAATAAAACAATGGGTCTTTATTAAGATGAACACTACTATGGGGCATCCACCATGTAGGTCCTTCTGAGGGGGCTTCGGACCCCATTGTTCAAAGTTGGTCCCATAAGCATCACCTCCACGCTTCAGGTTACGGGTGCTTCAGGACCAAGGGAGTGTCATGGCAATCCCTTGCAATCACATGGAAAATTGCCCAGGACAAGAGAAAGAGGAATGTCATATGGGCCTGAAGCAAGGCTCTGTGCAAAACTAGTTAATGCCCTCTTGAAACTGGTCTCTGCAGCAGTAGCTTGTGTGAGACATGGGCTGAAAGAATATGAAATAGCACCCAGGTACTGTGCATTAACAGTTGACCCCACCCACCACTCAGATAAGCGCATGGTCTCCTTTACATGTATGTTCCATCTATACCAAATTCCCTTCATGGTAGTAGCAGCCAAACACTCCACAAAGACTTAATACAAAATACAAAGACTCTAAACCCTACTGGCCTTGAGGCAATTTTTATTCATTATCTCTATCCTCCAACTCAATCTTGATTCACCTTACCTACCTTCGGCTGACCTAGATTTCTTTCCTAGTAGGGAGACCCAGGTCTTCACTGAGGTGTATTCTTTGTCCTTGGCAGGCCATGTTTCCTGTGGTGACCAGGCATGGAAGCACCAAGACAGTCTCCAAGGAATTCTCAGGTTTCTAGATATGGTTCTTGCTTACTCTGTTGGCTACCAATCACCCTAACTCCTCTTGGTAACCAGTGACAATTACTCCCACCAGTATTTTAATTTTATTCTCTATTGGTTGATCCATTGGCATGGGGCACGCAAACGACCAGGTGGTAGTCATAACTTCAAGTTCAGTGGAAATACTCCCTGGTGTGTTCTCCTTAGGAACAGGATCTGTGATCTGATAGTGCTGAAGTTTGCAGGAACAGGAAGCACAAATCCCATAAACAGAAAAACTGGCCATGGTTGTACACTATTTTTTAAACATTTTTTATTGATTTATAATCATTTTACAATGTTGTGTCAAATTCCAGTTTCAGCACAATTTTTCAGTCATACATGGACATATACATACTCATTGTCACATTTTTTCCTCTGTGAGCTACCAGTAAGATTTTGTGTATATTTTGCTTCATGATTTCCTCCATTGTTTCTGCTCTTATTTCAATTATTTGCTTCCTTCTATTCACTTTGTTTTTAATTTTCCATTCATTTTCTGGTTTTATGAGGTAGAACGATGTATCGTTGATTTTAAATATTTTCTTCTTTTGTAATATAAGCATTTAAAGCTGTAAATTTCACTCTAAGCACTGCTTTGCTGGATTTCATGTATTTTAATCTGTTCTGTTTTCCACATTGATCATTTTGAGATGTTTTGAAATTTCTCATGTAATGTTTTCTTATTTAACCCATGTCTTATATGGAAGTATGTTGCCTAACTTCTCAATATTGGTAACTTTAAAAAATATCTTTTAATGATTGATTTTAACTTAATTTTTGCATAGTCAAAGAATGTACTTTGTATTATTTTAGCCCTCTGAGCTATTTTGAGACTTGTTTTATGGCCTCGAATATGGTCTATCCTGGCAAATGGCCCCTAGGTCTACTTGAAAAGTACATGAGTGCAGCAACTGTTGAGTGTGGGGTTCTGTGAAAGTCAATTAAGTCAGGTTGGTTGATAGTGTTATTCGTATTTTCAAATTCTGTACTGATTTTTTTTCTCCACTAGTTCTGTTAATTATTGAGGGAGTGATTGAGGGAGTTAAAATACAGACCTATATTTACAGGTGTGCCTGTTTCTTTCTTAGTCTTATCACTTTTGCTTTCATGCATTTGAAGCTCTGTTGTTAGATGCATGCATACTTAGGGTTGTTATGTCTGCTTAATTGAGTTGATGCTTTTATTATGCTGAACAAGTCCTCTTTATCTCTGGTAAAACTCCTTGTCTTGAAGTCTCCTTTGCCTGATGTTAGTATGGTCACATCTTCTTTCCTGCTTACTGTCTGCACAGAGTATGGAAAGTAAGTGGTAGGGCTTTGAGAGAGTATTTGAAGTGTCACATAACAGGAGAAGTGTCTGATATAATCAGCAATGTCTGTGATTAATATGTCAGTATCCATTTATCTTTTTATCTATTTTCAGTAAGTCTTATTTATAACAAAATCCTTTGGTTTGCCATCTTTTTCATATTCCCATGAACAAAGATTTCCTACTCCCTACAAAGATTTCATGGGATTTTTTTTCCCTATAGATATAATGGCCCTGCAAAAATATACATGTTCTAATATTGGGAACTTATGAATATGTTATCTTACATGTCAAAAGAGACTATGCAGATGTGATTAAGGTTTAGGACCCGGAAATGGGCAGAATATCCTGGATTATCTGTGTA